CTTTGGTTTTGCCCCTTGTCTAAAAAAAGATCAATCTCTTCAAAGATTTTTTGTGAATCTGAATGGATCTTTGAGAGATCTTTAGTTTGTTGAGGATTTTTAATTGGATATTGTTTTTTCTTTGTTCCTTGGGGCTTAACCTCTTTCCATGGACTTTCTACAAGTATATCCTTTCTCACTTTAATTGGAGATTTGTTCCTAAATGGAACTTTCGGGCCAATTCCTTTCCGTTGATTGGGACTAAAAGATCTTTTTTCTCCTCTTTTTTCTATCCTAAAATTATTATTAAAATTATTATTATAGCCACCATTGTGATTAAACCTATTCGATTTATTTGTAATAGAATGGAAATTAGAATCTCTATCATTTTTATCTCTAACATACTTCCCATTTTTTGTTCCTGCTATTTTTTCATCAATTTTATTGACTTTCTCCACTAGATATTTCTCTTTATTTTTAAAATTTTCATCATCTTTGTTTAAGCAGAAATCCTGTTCTAAATTATCCATATCCATAGACAATTTATTTAAATTATCTTTCTCGAAATCAATGATAATTTCCATTAAGGTAAAAGAGCACTTTTCAAGAGCTATGTCCCATCTGGAAGCATATGGAGAATTTTCTAAACCATTGGCAGGATCTTTCCTCAATCTTAAACCTCTAGGAATTAGATTCTCTTTAATATACGCTTCTAGGAATGAAATTTCCCACCATTTCTTTGTTTCCTTGATTGCAATCTTTTCAAGTTTGAAAAAATAGTCATCAGAATTAGCATTTTTTAAGGTTGGAACTCCTTCTATTTGACTAGAAAATAATGAATTAAATCTAGCTTCTCTAGTGGACTTTAGCTCTGAAAACATGCTCTGTTTTTGTGTCATTATAATCACCAGAGTAAATGTGAGGAATATAAATATAAAACAAAAAGTGATTTGCACAAAATATGCAAAAAAAACCCTGTGTGGCTAAAAAAGGTAAAATATAAATATAAATATTATATAAATACCCAACAATAGGAAGTGCGAAGACTCCTCAATGTCTTCAATATATTACACATAAAACCATAAAATGCACAACCTAAAAATACAAAGGGAGACCAATAGTGCAGACAAAAATGACTAAATATTAAAAATAAAAAACTATAAAACACTCACAAACATAGAAGTAAAAAGGCAGGATATAGCCAAATTTCTTCAAATGCTTCTTCTTCTTCTTGTGTATGAAGATGAATACTTAAATCAGAGCACAGAAGAAAAACATAGTGTATAACTGTATGGTATTAGAAAATTTGCTTTATTGGATACACTTACAAGATAAAAGAAGTAAAAGGGCTCATCAATTCGAATCACATCCACTGTCTGCCATCCCAAATAAATACAACGCCAGAGGAAGAGGACAAAGTGAATACAAAGAGTCCAGAATTAAAAAATATTGAATTGTAAAAATAAAGCTTGCCACCAAGCTTTATTTTATTTTTATTTTTTTAAATTCTTTATTTTGGTGGTGCGTTTCAGAGAGTACATGCTCTTGCAATGCCACAACAGCAGTAACAAGAAGGGTGGATAACATAGTTTAAACAGATATATGGCATAGATAGTTATTGCACACATTTTTAAAAGGTAAATAACATAGTTTCAGGCTTTCCAACGTGTCTATAGTGTGTGTGTGTGAAGCGTTTTCATAGTTAGTTATTTAGACAGATTGGTGAACATGCTTGGATGTGTTATATAGCTAACCCACGACTAGCAGGCGTATAAACTAAGGTGGCACTTATAGGTGGGATACTACAGGCGTGTCGTCAGCCTCTTAAGTAAGATCAGAGGGACGTGTCCCGGTTATATTAGGCAAACATACAAGTACATAGCTAACTGGCTATCAATGAAGGCGTCAACGTTAATATTACAAGCCTCAGTGGAGAGATCTGTCCTGGCCCAAACTAGATTTTATCGAGACTGTAAGACATTGTTTTAAAAAAGCTTAGTTAAGGGCTTTTTAGGCGTAAATAGCCCCTGCAGCTTTAACTAGAGGGGTATTGCCCTTTTGGAAATCATGGGCGGCAAGCCAACAAGATCAAACGCAGGCTAATAAATAGGCAGGGGATGTCATTGGTATTCCCAACAGAGAAAGAGAGGGTCTACCTAAGTTACTTGTTGGTATTAGCCACTGGGTTGCTTGTAAATGCGCCAGTGTCAGTAAATGTATGTTTGGAGTGACTAGTAGCAAACTCAAACCATTAAGATTAACAGATAAACATTGTGTAAGAGATATCTCTATACTGCCCACTGCAGGCGCCCAATTTCAAGAGGGGGCAAGTCCCAAAGAATCCCGCATAGCTTCTTCTTTCAGCCTATGCCTTCCAGTGTCCTAGCCTCCATTTGTAGTCCATCGCGGGACTCCGCAATCGTATATCCCCAATCCGAGGACCCTGATGCCAGGTTCATCTGCTCATGTAAGTGGAGGTCGTGGTGGAACCTGCCCCTTGCATCCTGTCGGTGTCCCGCCCGCAGCATTCGGGTGCCGCTTGAGTAGGCCAGCCGGTTCGCCATGTATCTTGGAGTGATCCGTGCATTGGACTGGGCCGGCTGTGACTTTCGTGGTCCGGCAGTTGCAGCCTGTTGTGGTCGCGTTGGTTTATTTGTCGTCGGGAAGCGGCGACTGCCGCGACGCCATTTTCTTACCCGCGTTGTTTTGCGAGGAGCGTTTCTGAGGCGGGTGTGGGGCTGTAGTGCTAGCGGTGGGTTTGCAATTGTGTTGCGTGTGGCAGCCTGTCTCATCTCAAGTTTTCTCCAAAAGGCCTCGAATATTGCATCTAAATGCCTCAGGGTGTTTGGCTCCTGTTCGTTGGCGTTTGGTCCAGTGAAGGGCTCCGCCAACTCAGGGTTGGTAGACTGAAGCTGAGGTATCCGCCACCGCGTCTGCATGGATTCCCCAGGGACCGGGATGACCCCCGCCGGTCCATAGGTGGGGGAACAAGGGCCCTTGTTCGAAGTTGCTGTCAGTGATGGCGGCAGGGGAGCGGCCGTCTCCCTCATGCCGACCATGCTTGAAGGCCGCAAGCTGTGTTCTGGCTTTTTATGCTGGGTATGTGGCATATTTGGTGTCTGCTTGTGGCTCCTGGTGTGACCACTCTGTTGGTGTCCCCTGCAGGTCGCTTGGGTGTGTTGAGCCTCTATTTTTGGGTAAAATTGGTCTCAAGGAACAGGAGCAGCTTTATCTTGCATCCGCTCAGCTCAGCGGTCAGGCCCCGCCCCCACCAAGCTTTATTTTTACAATTCAATATTTTTTAATTCTGGACTCTTTGTATTCACTTTGTCCTCTTCCTCTGGCGTTGTATTTATTTGGGATGGCAGACAGTGGATGTGATTCGAATTGATGAGCCCTTTTACTTCTTTTATCTTGTAAGTGTATCCAATAAAGCAAATTTTCTAATACCATACAGTTATACACTATGTTTTTCTTCTGTGCTCTGTTTTAAGTATTCATCTTCATACACAAGAAGAAGAAGAAGAAGAAGCATTTGAAGAAATTTGGCTATACCCTGCCTTTTTACTTCTATGTTTGTGAGTGTTTTATAGTTTTTTATTTTTAATATTTAGTCATTTTTGTCTGCACTATTGGTCTCCCTTTGTATTTTTAGGTTGTGCATTTTATGGTTTTATGTGTAATATATTGAAGACATTGAAGAGTCTTCGCACTTCCTATTGTTGGGTATTTATATAATATTTATATTTATATTTTACCTTTTTTAGCCACACAGGTTTTTTTTGCATATTTTGTGCAAATCACTTTTTGTTTTATATTTATATGCCTCTCTAATTTAAGACTATGTACTCTTGTTGTGGTAGTTTTTCTTCTTTTAAAAATTGTCTCCTCCTTTACTGTGTTGATTCCCTTTCTGTATTTAAATGTTTCTATCATATCCCCCCGTCTCGTCTTTCCTCCAAGCTATACATGTTAAGTTCCTTCAACCTTTCCTTGTAATTTTTATCCTGCAATCCATGAACCAGTTTAGTAGCCCTTCTCTGAACTCTCTCTAAAGTATCAATATCCTTCTGGAGATACAGTCTCCAGTACTGCATACAATAGTGCAAGTGAGGTCTCACCAGTGTTCTATACAATGGCATGAGCACTGCCCTCTTTCTACTGCTAATACCTCTCCCTATACAACCAAGCATTCTGCTAGCATTTCCTGCTGCTATATTACATTGTCTGCCTACCTTTAAGTCATCAGAAATAATCACCCCTAAACCCCTTTCCTCAGATGTTGAGGTTAGGACTCTATGAAATATTCTGTACTCTGCCCTTGGGTTTTTACGTCCAAGATGCATTATCGTGCACTTATCCACATTAAATGTCAGTTGCCACAACTCTGACCGTTTTTCTAGTTTACCTAAATTATTTGCCATTTTGCTTATTCCTCCTGGAACATCAACCCTGTTACATATCTTAGTATCATCATCAAAAAGACATACCTTACCATCAAGACCTTCTGCAATATCACTAATAAAAATATTAAAGAGAATGGGTCCAAGTACAAATCCCTGAGGTACCCCACTGGTGACAAGTCAATGCTTCGAATATATTCCATTAACTACAACCCTCTGTTGCCTGTCACTGAACCACTGCCTTAGCCATACAACAATATTGGAATCCAAACTTAAAGATTGCAGTTTATTGATAAGCCTCTATCAGTGTCAAAAGCCTTACTGAAATCTAGGTTAGCAATGTCTACTGCACCAGAGGGTATTAAGGGTATTAAGGGCACTGAGGGAGACCACCTTCTCCATAGAGTGCTTGAAGTGTATAGCAGGCTGGTTGGAGGAAAGTCCTCCAACCAGAATAGCTGATAGTAGGGCACCAGGGTGGACAGGATGACCTTGACAAGTCCAAAGGTGGGCAAATAGGACCAGTGCTGCATGGAATGAAAGGTCTGGCTCTTTGCAGATAGGCAGGATAGCAGAGCTGCATCTATCCACCCTACTCACCGCCTGGGTAGGCCTCGGTCACGGTAATTTGATATTTCTCCTCGAGGAGCCGAGCTTCAGAATCAGCACCTTTTGATTGACTGCCACTTCTCTGTGACAGGTGAGGGACAAAACTGCTTTTGTGAACCGAAAGGTCTGAGAAGGTTCTTCAATGCGACTAGTCAGCATGGCGGACTGGCCCCACCCCAAGACAGATGTGATTTTTGCAGCATAGCTATACATATAAAAAGGTACTATGAACTCAATAAAAAATATGAAAATAAAACAAATTTGATTACCAACTATTTAGCTTTTTTAGTTTTTCTTCATTTTTTTGTTTTGTTTTCTTACTGTTACATTTTAGCTGTAAACTCTGTGAACTGAATTGTCACCAATCACACAAACCAAAACTAAAGCTAAATTAGCTGCAAACACTGAAAGTATTTAAAAGCAACAAAGAGATTAATATTGCTGGTTTAGTTTTGTTCTCTGTAAAATACAGTGATTATTATGTTAAAATTTCACCTCTCAACTCCACCATGAGGGGGTCTCCCCTCCCTCCCCACCCCCTCCTCCTATTCTCTCCATTTCCCCCTAAAATATTCTATCACCGTTACCGGAGAAGATTACACATGAGTCTCTGTGTCTTTCCTGGGATTGCAATGAGAGAATACAGACAGCAAACAACACAGCCAATATGTGCTTTTACAAGCATGGGAATTAAGTGCTGTCAATAAGTTCCAGCGCTAGAACCTCTATATGCCGAGCTATATCAGCAGTTAGTCAGCAGATGCAGCAGATGCTGTTTTAACAGCATAAGTATGTTATGAAGTGCCGAGATTGTTGCTTGTCATGGAGGCACTTCATTTGTGACAGCATATTTCTTCAGCTTTTTATTTCAGTATGTCTAATTATTTATCACTACGGGGGTAACCTAACCTTGCTACAGTAATTGCTATATTTTGTAAAGTGCTCTATATAAAAGTGCTTTATAAGAACTGCTAAATAAATAAATGAAAAAATATTAAACAACGTTAATTGCAAAGGGGTCAGTTAAATGGCATGTGGTTTTCATATATGTAATGTGCCAGTAATGATCATTGTTCAGAATTTCAAAGCCATAACAATGTTAGGCAGGTCTCTTGCTGAAAGCCTTGAGACCGTGGAAGAGCTGTCATCTTTGACCTTGGGGAGCAAGTACAAATGAATGGTAATTTTTGGTTCATGAAACTCACAGTTCACAGGGTAGATACATTGTTATTAGAAAGGCGCCGCACAATTCTTGCTCTTGCCTTCTTCGGCATTTCATAAAGTTATTAATTAAAGGGATCACTCAAATTGAAACAATACTTGCTCTATTAAATAAAAGGGTGGGATTTCTAGCACTTGTCTCTTAAAAGTATGGCAACTTAAACGTCCCAAACCAGAGTCTTTTCTTACTGGTCGTGAGTAGAGACTGTATGGGAAAGGGGCTGCAGAGAAGCAGCACCTTCAAAGTATTCTCATATATAGTGCTGTATGCCAAGTTATTGGTGAACTGAATATGAAAAATAACACTAATAATTTTCTGGAGCTTATGCTCAGCTCCAGATATATGCGCTTGGACGGTATGGTTCCATCAATGGATATGCTGGTGGTCTTGGCCCTTTACCAGTAGATAGCCTTTAATGGTAAGTGTTGAGAGAGCTCTTCTTCAATGTGTAGTATTGTAGCGTTAGCAATTCACTGGTATATGGATTAAAAATAAACAGAATATAGTGCTCTCTGTATTAATGCAATACACGAAAAATAATAAAAGGACGTATGCTCACAAAGGGAGAGCAAAGAGGGTTTTGCTCAGTCCCAAACAGCATAAGTGATCTATTCCCCACCAAGGACATAAAAATGAGAATCCTCTGGATAAAATCTTCTGGGATAAAATCTGGAAGGTCCAATTGGATAAAAAAAACTAGTTTTATCGTAAACAAATAATAAAACCAAAATGTAGCAAAAAAACACTGATAAACGCTTTTCACAATAAACAAATCTTGCTATATTTTTAAAGCCTTGTTTGTGGTAAAACAGGTTAGTGTTTTATCAATTTTATGCTCTATTTTGGTTTTATAACTGGACATACTACACGATATTTCGTTCCCTTGTCCTCCTATTTTCCATATTGCTCCACCCCTACTTGGATTTCAGGGTACATTGATGGTACTGCTTCCCTGCACATCCTTTCCTATAAAATCCTTGCTCTACATTGTTTAGTTTTACACCCCCCCCCCGCCCTACCAACATTCGTAAAACCAAAAGGAATGGAAGGGGTAGAAGCAGAGGTATACCTCCACACAAGAGGTGGTTATAGAGAGCCAAATGTTAGCTTTGTAATTATTCATGTAATTGCTTTGAACAACGTAGAACAAATGCATCTTCTTTGTAAAGTTTATTACCTGACATGATTAGCTATAATGTGCCATAGCAAACCAGACGCGAGCATATGGTATTATACCACTTCAGTAGTGGCAAGAGGATGTGGTGTAACCACCGGGTACCACGCCCAGGATAAGACAAATTGCTAAAACTAAATGCATGCAAAGTATATGCAAAACCTCCAAACCTCCAAACCATACAAGTGCTTATAGAGTTCTGAACAGTTTATTAAATATCCAGATACATAGGTCTGTACCCTATACTAGTACATAGAATACATGATAATACAATGGTAGCTGTTTACAGCAGCTCACAATGTGACACTTTATGGGCATTCTGCAAATTTATGTCTGATCTCTGTAAATAAATGGAACTTTGTGGAATGTAAGAAATGACCAGAGGTCTTTGTAGGTTGCAAACATATAATCAAACGGACCTTACCTGTCTGCATCAAGCGTCCAAGGCAGGTCCTCCTCCTGAAAACTTGGCTTAAGATTGAAATTACAGGCTTCGAGAGAACCTCTCTGAGGAAGAGCCTTAGCGGCACGAAATGCAGTAGCATTTACTTTTCCCAGTACTTTTCTTCTGTTTGCACAATATTTAGATGTAATAGGCAACTATAAACTTCTACTTGTCGATTGAGTCATGTTTGTTTTTCGCTAGGTGCTGGTAATACCAATTTTAAGCTAAATTTGTGGAATGATCTTCCTAGTGGAGATTTTTCCATAGGGGCATTGTTTGCTGAATATTATAAGGAGTGTGCCATTGATTCCTGGACATTATAAGCTGTGCTGCCGAAGAGATGGAGTCCATTCAAGAGTAACTGAAAGCAAAAACAGTTGCGGATTCTTATAATACTGTTTATGGTGAAAATTAGGTTTATGGACGTGAGCATTTCTTAAAATGGAATGGAGTTAAATTCCAGATGTACTGTTTGACACCTTCCACCTCAAAACCTCACCAGTTGCTACTGTATCCTCCTGTAGTTTTCTTTGATTATTTTACCCTCATGTAATCCCAAATTCCAAGGTTCTGCTTAAAGAGTTGTTCACTATGTAAACTCATTTGAGCAGGGTCCTCATCAACCTATCATTCCTGTAAGATTTTGCAATTGTCTCATTACTTGTTAAATGTCCGCCTTTATAATATTGTTAAGCGCTGCGGAAGAAGTTGGCGCTATATTAATGCCAAATATAATAATAATGATTCAGGTGGCTCATGCCCATATTCTTTAAAAATGCAGAGATGGGGGAATGTCTACAGAGCGCTGCTGGATGGACGTGCTTTGTTAAGCTCCCTCCGTGCAGCATAGAACAGCAAGCGCTACAAACAGCAACTGAAGCAAATTTCCCACAAAAAAACAGTAAGTGCTTCCTAATGTCCCAGCAGATTAAATAACATGAGAAAGACGATAGGGCTTCATTTTTTATGGCCTGAGCAATCTCTGCTAAACTGCTGCAACATGCAGAGTAGGCCCAAGATGGAGCCGAGCAGGCAAACAGATATGGATTCCATCTCCCCAAACACTCCATTGCCATATCCGGTCATATCCGAGGAGATGAAGCTCCTTTTGGCAGACTTTACAGCTCCAATTACCAACAATGTGAGTGACCAACCACAGACACTTTCGGGAGAACTCCTGAAGGAGATACTAGAAATAGACAAAAGGTCAGGCCACATCAAAAACAAAATGGATGAATTTGACACTTTTCACAACTTCATGGCAGACCGTGCCCAAGAACTGTAAGTTAAAATTGGAGACATATAAGATAAAACTTGCAGACATGGGTGACAGATAATTTACGATTTCCGTGTATCCCAGAGTCAATGGGCCAGGAGGCCCTTCTCACCTATCTCACTGGTCTGAACACTGTGCCAACATTTTATCCTCCCAATTGTGGAAATATGCCGATCAGTTTGGGAAACCTAAGCACTTAATTAATACTATCCAACAGGATGTAATAGCCAGTGTACATTATTTCCACATCAAGGTGCAGATCTTGCAGGAGCCAAGATCTACCTGATAAATGCCATTCTATTAGTATTCCATTTTTCCATATTAAAAATAAAGATTACTGCGGGGTGGGGCCTGACCACCGGCGGGATCAGACATGCTCTGTCTGAGCTCCCGCTCCAGGGCCCGAAGTGGGTGTAAATTGGAGGCTTTACGAGACTGGAAACCCAACACAGGGGACCACACCAGCCCCCAGTCACTGGGCCAAACGAGTATACCGCATGAGACTGTCTGGCGCCAACAGACGGCCGCTCTCCCGGGTCTCCGGCTGGCGTCACGCTCCACCCCACACCAACCTGGACCTAAACAACCGCCCTGGTGAGGATTAGCCGCCGGGTGACGGCCCACAAGATGGCCGCCGTGCGCCGACCATGTGCGCGACCTGCCTCTGAGATCGAAGGGTCGCCTACCTAAAAGTGAGGAAGCCAATGGAGCAAATGAATAAGCACACACTGTCACCCTACCAGGTCCTTACAAAAAAAAGCAAAGTTTATGGACACTGCAAATAAGAACACACCACACTCTAATGGAAGTGCCTGCAGTAGCACATACCACAAGATACAACGAAGCAGAACCCACCCTGACAGCACTGACCAGCCAAGGATTCAAGACAGAGTGCAGCCAAGAGGAACCCTGGTTCATGGACCAGAAAATCTTGAGACTCACTGTGGCTGAACTCCCTGCTGTGACCCACCTGTGGCATTGGATGCCATTCAGATAACGTGAATCCTGCTAACACAGGGCAAGACCATCACCAGCAATGTAATGACTTTTGTTATCCTCTTCCCCAAGTTTTTTTGGACCCTGTGGTGTTGATAGTTTATCTACTTTCCTAACAACACTTAGCAAGCGACTATCTTAACTAATTAACTTAATCTCCTGATGGCCTGACATGTTTCCTAGCACTGTTTTTATTTCTTTTGTTGTTATATGACAAGCATTTAACTCCTCGTGTTCACTTAGTTTCTAGTGCTACATGTTAGGTTGGCAAGTCCAGATACACAGGTCCTAGCCTATAATTTGACTCACTCCTGTACCTCACTTGTGATATATACTAAGCATAGACAGCTAGCATCTCATATTCAGAGTGCCCACCAGTTAAATAAGCCTGCCTAGCCTGTTCATTAACGTTGAATCCCCGTGCTGTCTGTGCCATTGCTAATCTAGACGCATGTAACCACACTACAACTACACTAGCAAAGTTACTCTAGCAATGTTAAACGTGAATCACCCTACATTATGCTAATGTTTTCGCTGTTTAACCAATCTTGCTATACCTGTATAAAAATGTGCAATTTCTCATGCCACTGTCAAACCTAAATACACCTTCAAACACGCTGTTGTGGCGTATGTCGATAACATGTAACTAACTGCACGACAAAAATAAAGAATTAAAAAAATTAAAAATAATTAAAGATTATTATATTTGTTGACATATTGTTTCGGCCCTCCAAGGGGAACTCTTGTATCTTGGTATTATTCTTGTAGCTTGATGTTATTGATTTACTTTACTTTTGTTCATTAAGTTTGTTTTAATTATGTCGAAAACTTATATAGCTGTTACTCGTGCTGTGACTAAATGTCCTTCTCACCATACACGGTGGATAACTATACCATGACCTTCACCTTGTGCCCAAATATTCCCTATTTTACCAGCACACAAGAGCTCTATTTTTTATATATAGTTTATTTAGGTCATTTTTCATTGCCTTATCGTGATTTATGCCTTGATACATGTTAGTGCTTTTAGTAAGCCTTTGTGAGTGTACTTGCCACTTATCATGAGGTCATGTAAATAAAATGCCTTGGTCCTTTGAACAAGTATTCGGACTTAGTAACCCAACATAACCATATAAAAGTCAGCAAATAGCTACTGTTCATCGAACGGGCATAGGATAGTTGCACTAATCAAACAAGATTTCATAATTCTTTAGCATCAACATAAGTGTGAACCTATGACTTTTTAGTCCAATACAATATTTACAGTATCTTGAGCATGGAGTAAATGTAAGGACAGGAAATTATTGTTACAGAAGATTCTATGTACAATCTAATCCTTGGGACTAGCACAGTGAAGGAGAGGAAAGTTGAAAACAAGATGTCTCGTATTACTACGGTTCTTTTCTCTAGGGGGTAAGATAGCACTTTATTTTCTTGAATTATCAGCATGCTGTCTGAGCTATTTATGTTGAGAAGAGCTGTAAAGCAATACACACTTACAACATAATTTGTTGACCTTTTTCAAAGGTCCTGGTGTTCTCCCTGGGTGATTGGCATTCACCCATGTGTTTATTTAAAGCAGACCATTGTGGATCACTGCACATATCAGCTCAAATACTACAGACCATATAACATATCTTACCCTTGAGACTGATTTTCTTCTCCTCTTTAAAGAGTACAGTGACCATATTTGTCAATCGCAAAAGTGAAGCTTCTCTTTTGATGACAGACCTTATGGAAAAATTAACTGAGCTTGTCAATAGTTTACGAATCAGCTTGATAAGTATTCTCCCGATCAATCCATCCAGGGGTCCATCAAGCCCATTACTGGTGTAAAGTCTGCTTCCCTCCATCCATGCTATGAGGGATTTACTAGTCAGCTCAGCATACAAAATGTAGTAGTGCTAACATCAGGATATGATAGTTTCTTTGTCCCAAGCAATAGTGTTTTCCTGAAGACATTATGTCATTATTCCCACATGTTGCACAAGCAATGCCATGATGGTTACATATTCTGGAAGTGTCCATCATTCTAGAAAAGCCTAGAGGAGCACTAAGGCACCCAGTCTACCCTGCAGTGACCCTGTCCTTTTACTCCTGCAACTGAAAACATTTCAATTTTGTAGAAATGGCAATGTTTTCACAGCAGGGCTAAACAAACCTCAAGTGGATGTCTTCCTGATAGTCACTAGAGGTGCTTCCACGGTTATGACTGAGTCAGACTTGCATATGGGCCATTCAACATCATCACACATCACATGATGACATTGATTAAATAATCTCAAATGCTTACCTTAGAGAAGCATTTGATTCAATGCTTCCCTGTGAAGTTAGGCCCACCTATCAAAGGGTCAGAGGTGGATTCAGCCAAAAAAGGGATGTCAGCCTGGCGTGCAATGCTTTTGCCAACTTCACTTAGGGCAGACCATGTAAAGAGCACATCTAAGGTGCTCTGAACATGGGCTTAATTCCCTGACAGCACAACAGACTATCACAGAAGCTCCCGTGCCTGCTGGAGAGGCATAACAGCTAGCCTCCTGCCCACAGACTATGGGCCTGGTCACACACTTTAAATTGATATATAGGATATGGGGGTAAATTGTATTAAAGTTGAGATATTATGTAAAATGTTGAGCTGAATGAAGCGATTGTGTTAATTGTATAATGTAAAAGCTGTTGTGCTTGGTCATGGTGTCTGGCAGGAAATTAAGTTATCATGTCTTGACCCAATTATGTCCCAGACACCAGGGAGTGGTTTGCATTGTGATGGCTGCAGACCCCCTGCTGTGTGTAGAGGGATAAATGCATGCGTTTTTCTCTGAAATAAACAGATCTCTTGTTTTACCAATACGACTAGTCTTGTCCACTATGTTGGGGAATTTTGCAAAGTTCCAGAGGGCTACAATCACTGTATGCTGTAGCTGAATCCAGGAGCAGCAGAGGATTAGAGAAGCGACGACCAAGGGACACTAAGAGACCCTGGAACCTGTAACGCACACAGTATGAGAGGACTTATGCTGCTGCTCTGATGGGGACAATATTCTGGTGTCCTGAGATATAGGGTGCCGTGGGAACAAAAATGGGATAACAGAGAAAATAATAATCCCATCAGAAGCGAGACAGCTGGGAAATATGTAACTTGACAAAAAACACATGATAAGATGTTTGCTGCTACATTTTTTCCCCTTTAATTCCTTACCACATTGTACTGATATTTGGACAGTGATATGTTATTATCACTTTGGCCCTTTTGTATAACAAAGTTTAAACAAGAAAATATATGACTCTATAATGGACTGACTCTACCTGAACACTATCTTCCACTGTTCTGGACAGCTAATGATTTAATTACGCAGTCATTGCATATGTCAATACAGTATTTAGTGATCTTTTCAAGTTTCTGTTATTCAGCTTCACGTATAAATCTATTTATTTATTTCAGAACGCCACTGTGTTCCTTAAAGGGATACTCTAGGTGATGCTTTATATAAATAATGGATACAAAATAATGTGCAAAACATATAGATAGATAGATAGATAGATATGTATAGATAGATATAAAACACTTACATTTACATTTCTTTAACCTGCTGCCACTTGTGCAGGCAAGTGGCAACAGCAGAAAGTATCCTTACAGACCATAAAAAGGCTCCACTAATCAGGAATATGTCATTTTGGTGCGAGGTGTACCTATATCACATGGAACTCTGGGCATTCTGACTTTCATATACATTCATATACATAGACATTCATATTCACACATACTTACATTTGCATACATCCATAAATGCATACACACATGTATTGATATACATACACACAGCCTCATACAAAAATACACACATGGACACATATGCACACACATACATATACAAACTTAATGTTATGCCTGCACCGCATTCAGTTCCAGGACAGAGGCAGAGCAGGCACTTTCTGTCTGCCCCCAATCCTTTAGCAATGTGTCAGCAGGCAGGTGCCTTCTCTGGTAAGGTGGTGCTTTGTGTCACCTCTCA